AAACTTCAAGTCCAAGGCAAAAAAAATACTAAAAAAAACTTGCAAGAGAGAAAAAGAAAAACAAGAAATAGCCGATAGGTTTTGACTTCTCAACTCTAGTTTTCTAAGAGACAGAGTGTTGTTTTATGTCTTCCTTCTTTTTACTTAGTTGTGTAAGCTTTGCTTCTTAGTGCTGTTTTTGAGTTCTGTTGATTTTGTATTTTTGTTTTTCTGTAAAAATTTGTGTATTGATGATCGGTAGAAAGAGTTGATTGTGAGTATTTTAGATTTCTATTGTTAGTTTAATTATTTTTTTATATATTTTTTTAAAAAATATTTATTTTCTTGTAATTTTACTTATTCTATTTTGCTTTTTAAAATTTTGCTAAAAAATGTTTATCAGATTAGTGATATTTTATATAGAGTAATGATTCTGACAAAATTAGTACTATAAATTTCTGGGGTTTAAATCCTTAGTAAGTTAGAGATTTTAAATAAAGTAAATATAAACCACTTAGACAGATCATATCTGAATACAAATGATAAAATATTCTTATTATGTTTTAGTATTGAATGTTTTTTATTAGTATAAAAAAAGTAGATTGTAAAATAGATTAGCCTCTATTTGTATATTTTAAATCTCAATTAATAAAGAAAAGATTGTTAAAACAAAAAAAAAATAGATATTTTTTGTTATTTAGTACTATACTAATACTATGCTATTGTAAATTACTATATAATTTCTACCAAAAAAAAAGTTACTTTAAACTTTATTAAAAATTTTTAATTAAAAATATTTTAACAACTACTTGATCAAATTTGATAAAAGATTTTTTATTTGAATTCTACAAATCTGTAAAATTCAAATAAAAAACCTTTATCAAAGTTGATCAAGTAGTTGTTAAAATATCTTTAATTAAAAAAAAATTAAATAAAGTCTAAAGTAGCTCTTTTTTCTTGGCAGCGCTTATATACAAGACCCGGGTCTCTTACATTTTACCAATTTTAATTTGCATTTTTAATAAGTTTAAAAAAACCATATTTGATTAATGTAAATAACGTGATTCGCATCCGCATGGTGGGGTCTATCAAGGGGGTCTTGTATACGGTAATAATATAACATTAATCCGGTCAAAATGAAATTCCTCATTCATATTGACTATTTTAACTGTATAACGATAATTTTTTTACTTTATCATATACTATTTATAGAAAAGTATATTGGCATAGAATATTCTGACCCATAAGACCTATCGTGGGTCGATCGCTAATTCATTTAACTTACCGTTAACATTACATTACGAGTGCAAATCAGTTTATCGTCTATTAATTAATCAGTTTTTATTAACATACAAGCCGATCGAGCCGTTTGTGTGGGTATGACAACGTGCCGGTTTCATTAATATAATTAGTTAAAAATGTCACATAGTACAATCTTCGTTATATCACGAGACATTTTATTAAATCCGTTTAGGATCTTCCTATATCGATATGTCAAGAGTTTATTTAACTTCACTATAGAACGAATATTTAATAATATTGGTTTTGTTCTATAAAAAAAAAAAAAGTTCTTTGCTGTAAGCCAATCTCAAGGGTTCTCTATAACGAGAGTGACATGTATCCTGCTCAGGGAGAGTATGATGCGAGTAATTCTTCTTCCACCTCTTCCTTAATAAATACCTCATTTTATAACTCTAATGAAAAATCCTCGGAAAGTTCTGAGAGTGAAGAGTATGAGACTCTGCCTAAAGAGCCATATGAAGAGAAATACATCAAGCTTACGTCCGTCAATGCTCTAGAATTTTTGCCTGCTGATAATTGCTCAGAGGCATTCCTTTCTGACACTGTTTTGAGCTTTGTCCACAGAGCTACACATTTGATTTTTATTTGGTGCTTTGTTTCATCCATTCTTGCTGCTTTGCTATCCATGGCAGCGAAAAATCGGTTGATTTTATTATTCTTCAATGTTTCTTTGGCTGCATTTTATTTCAAATGCGCCGCGATCTGGGCTTATTGCCTTTATTGTTTTATTAAATCTAGCTTACCACTCAAGGATTTGATTTCATATGCAAAAAATATTGCAATAGTAATATGTACCATACAAGCACTGGATCATTTTTCTACACTTGTGAAATGGAATAAACCTGACTCAATGATCATCTTCTTTCATGGTTCGGCATCTGATAATATTCTTTCTTATGGCTCTGTCCTCAGCTTGCCTGCTTTTGTCTTGCTTGAACAATTTTATATAGCTTATCAAAGAGAGAATTTTCGCAAGCGTGCTTTACTCAAAGATGAACGCGATAATGCTCAAAGGTCGGTATATATGGCGATAGATCGATTCAGTGAACGAAAAGGATTATATCTTCGCACCATATCGGATCAGTTACAGCAAACAACCGAACTGGCTATGGATATACTCAAGCAGTTGTCACCTTCTCATTTACTAACAAAACCCCATGAACAATTATCAGCTTGTTCAATTTCTTTTCCTACGGCCTCGATAAGCGCGATTTACACCACGATAAAAGCAATTAATTATATTTCTTCACATCTGGGAACGCTTTCTTTTCTAATGTTTTCCGAGCCCAACAATCCAGAAACTACTCACGTGAAACGTGAGTTTGACATCGGTGAATTGATACAATATGTTGCCGATTCGCTCGCCGGTGTTGCTTCTCGTGCAAATGTTGAATTGGTTGTTTATCATATTGAATATGAGTATAGTTTGAGTCACCTTAACGTCGTTGGTGATGAAGCCGCTTTCAGACACGTCCTCTTGAGTCTAATTAAATGTATACTTAGTGGGGCAAGCCCGGGTGCCTGCATAGAATTAAGTCTTCAAGTGCGAACATCCGAGGAATCTGATTCTTCAACTCAAAAAAAGCGTGTGATTAACCCTAATGACAAAGTTATTTGCACGATTGAAATCATTCATAACCTTGGCTCAAACGCTTCTGGACAATTTATATGTCCTGATGCAAACTTGACGCACAAAGTATTGAACTTCTTGGGCGCTACCCTTAATTCTAATGAAGAGCATGGTCAACAACGATTTAAAATCACTTTAGAACTGAATGCAGGGTCACCTCTTACAAGTTCGAACACACCTGAGGAGATACGTCGTCGTTATCCACATTCACGTATTACAGGCGAGCCCTCTTTTGAGGAACTCAAAAAAACAACACAAAGCATGCGAGGACAAAAAGTTGCACTACATGCAACCAGTAATAGTTTCTTTGCAAAACGCATAACCAGTTGTTTGACTACTTGGGGTACGGATATCTCGCATGTTCCAATAGGAAGTGAAAATGATTTAGAGACATGCTCTCAAAGTGATTCACCCGTGGACTCCGGGTCCGGAACACCTGTCGAAGGCCCTAAATCTGCACCAGTACAAAACAATGAATTAAAAATACCACCAGCAAATTCTTTACCCCCTAAATTTATCATTATAGACGATGATATTGACACTTTAAAGCAACAATTATCACAACTTAGAAACGCACCTTTTTCGGGTGGCATAATCCCATCGACAAATCAAAAACAAGTTCGCAATAAACGTCAAATGCAAGCACCCACGCTTCCACAGCAAACAACAGCGGTGATTCATTTCACGTCTCTTACCAATTACAAGCATGTAAAGGATACCATTCAATGTTATATAGTTTCTCCAACTACCGCTGGTTCATTCGCATTGCCTCAGGTTTTGGTAATACCTAAACCCGCAGGCCCGAGACGGTTTATCACTGCTCTTCATACAACCATAAATAGAATAGTTGTAGATCCGGTCTATATGCCAATCGCCACATCACCTATGAGTCCAGGTTCGCAATATTATACCGACACAGAAGTTAATCCAATGGATCAGATAACAGAGTCGCTTAATGACAACTATTTTCTACCGGACCATGCATCAGCACGGCCATCCACACCATCTGTTAGTGGTTCAAATCGGACTACACCCAGTTCTAATCCATTGAGCCCCAAGCCTAGTCGTGTAGTGGTAGTTCCCCCTAACCCAGATAAAAATAGTCCAAAGGTGACTGGCAGCGCAAACGATGGTCCAATATTGGCTAGTCCAGGTCAAACGCCCCAATTAAGAAGAGGCGTGCCATATCAACCTGTCAAACCTTCATCTCCTGATGTAGAAGTTCCTGGTAACAATGCTATTCCAGAATCAATTCCTAATGGTGCTAATGGTGATAGTCCTGGTATTCCGAGTGTTCCTATATCACAACCACCGACACCTCAGCAACCAATTCCTCCTGCACAAAGTCCGCCAATACCAACTCGGAAAAAAGGGAAAACACCAGGAAATAGGATATTTGGGGATAAATCTAATCCTTATTATGTGATTCCAATTAATGTATTAATTGTAGAAGGTTAATATAAATATAGTATTAAGACAATGATTAACAAATGTTATTATAAAATTATAGAATTTTAATGCTATTTGTTTTACTATTATTATTATAGACAATCCAATCAATCAAGCAATTTTATCAACATTTATGAGAAAGAAGAATATCAAATACGAATGTGCTTCTAATGGTCAAGAAGCCGTTGATAAATGGAAAAAAGGAGGATTCCACTTGATCTTGGTAAGTTATAGGAAATATAAATTATGAATATTAGCAAATATTTATTTCAAAACTTATTTCAGATGGATATCCAACTGCCAGTAATGGATGGAATAGAAGCTACGAAAACAATCAGACGCCTAGAGAAATCACAAAAGATAGGTGTCTTTCCTTCTACACCACCAGCATTTCCAACCTCATCACTACCGTTACCAGATTCATCCGTTACATCCTCTACATCCGCACCTGCATCAACGTCTACTCAAGAACCGCCTGATACACCTGCTTTAAGTTCACCAGTCATCATAATGGCCCTAACAGCATCATCGTTACCATCAGACAGGCAAATCGCTCTGGCCGCAGGATGTAATGATTTTCTGACAAAACCTGTAAGTTTGGAATGGTTGGAGAAAAAGATTAACGAATGGGGATGTATGCAGGCCTTGATAGATTTTGAAGGATGGAGAAGGTGGAAAAAAGTTGGAGAGGAAATACAGATGAGCGGATTCTGATTTTTGGACCTAAAATTTGGCCCAGATTTTTAAATTTGGTCACCAAATTTCATGTAAACATTAGATGGTTGGTTGATTTGATTGTTTCAAAAAGGTTTTTTTTGCAATATTAGAGAGGTATTAGAATGTACGTCAACCCAATTGTTCCTTCTGTAAACCAATTGTCATAAAACCTTGTATATGTATAAATTTGTGTAGTGGTAAGCTTTTTTATTAGTTATATAATATTTTGTATATATTTAATATTTAATTTATTTATATAATTACAGAACTGAAAAAAAGTTTCATCTTATTAATTAAAATTTCGGATTTATTTTTTCAAGTATTGTATGTAAAAATAAAAATATATAATTATTACGTAGTATATTGTTTAAAATTTTAAAAACTATTGCGTTAATGTTACTGTACATATATTTATATTATCTTAATATATTTATATTTAATAGTCAGGGCATATTTTCTTGCAATGGTTTAAAATTTAATACTTGTCAAATGAAATAATTTATTATAATGTTATAATGTCAAATCGTTTCAAGAAATTCTGTGTTTATAAAGAATTGTGTTTATATAGCGATTAAATTTATATGTTTTATTTGAGCGTGACTATAGATAGATTTGACCGTATCATCTCGAAATAATGCCCGGTGTGTAGGTTAAAATTTTGGCCGGAATGAAGTTTAATTCTGCCTAAATTAAGCTTAATTAAGGCCACATTTTTAACCTACACCCGGGCGTTATTTCGAGTTGATATACGGTATATATGAAAAATATTGTGTATTGATGATCGGTAGAAAGAGTTGATTGTGAGTATTTTAGATTTCTATTGTTAGTTTAATTATTT